ATCTGAGGTCTTTAATTTGCTCAATATTCCCATGCAGTGACTCCTCCATCAAACTTCCCAGAGAGGACTTTCTGGTCAGCCCCCTGCTTTTACCTCAAGACGTTCACAGTTACAGACCCCACGAGGTGATGGATAACGCTTCTGGACGGGCAGCGACTTTCAGAGATGGGAGACCCTATGGCGTCTGCATGTTTAACGGGGTCAACGCTCCCAACAGCTCATACCTGTACAGCCAGTTTCCCATGCAAGGTTTCCCCTTTCCTCTTTGCAAGCTTACAGACACCAAGAACACTTTCTCTGACTTCTCAAAGGGAGGCATCATCCATCACAAACACTGCTCTCCGGTCGACGGTAACAACACTGTGCTGGCCGACTTCACCCGCAGCGCCACCGTCGGGAGCTCAGTCGCTTGCCACGCAGGTTCATACTCCTCAAGGGAGCTGGGAAGAGATGGGGAAATGAAGCAGGAGACCTTGGAGGGAGTGGTTCATTCGATCGGGATGAGCTCCAGGAAACATGGCTTTACCAGCCTGGCCCAAGAGCAGCAGAGGGAGACTGGGAAAGAGCAGAGTTCCTTGGCAGAGGAACATTTGAGCCACCAACACTACTCCATGGGCATATCCTCCAATGGACGCAAAACCTTGATGAGCAGCCCCCAGAGCCCCCTCAAATCAGACTGCCAGCCCAATTCCCCAACAGAGTCGAGCAGCAGCAAAAACGCCGCCCTCGCACAGGCCTCGCAACCTCCAACCTCTCAAGGTACACAAGACCCTAAAGCTCGCAACTGGAAAAAGTACAAGTTCATTGTGCTCAATCAAAGCTCCAAGGAGGAGGAGACCAATCCTCGTGACCCTGGAATGCACTCCCCACCGAGGCCAGGCTTGTCTGCTTTCCTTCACCACGTTGACTCTGAACATCCCGACTCGAAGGCAACGACAAAGATTAGCGAGCAAGGCGAAGACTTCACTGTGCCTCAGGCCAGTCGCCTGAACAACATCATCAACAGGTGAGGAAATCTGAAACTCTTTAACAGCTGAAAAGATATCATCCTGTAGTATGTGTACAGAAACCGATTAGAAGATCTCGTTTGCTAAAGCAGTAAAGTTTAGAACTGCCGGTTTGTGAGTATTTTGTGAAACGGTTCTCCACCCACCACCTCCACAAAGCCAGATTGAATTTTTCTTCATCCATTCCAATCCTCTTACAGCACACAGAGGATTTACCTCTTAGCAGGAATGTGTGAAATTCATTCAGTATCCTATAAAAATTAGAGTGAATTCCTCTGCATAAAGACCTAAAATGTGGCGTTCTCCTCCTCAGAACTCTGGAGGGATCGCAGAGGAACAGTGACAGCCACTCTTCTCTCTATATGAGCCATTTAAAATGCTCGTCCTGCGGCTCCCAGTCTCCACAGCACTCTGACATCTGTCCCAACACGTCGGCCTCACGTCTGGCCGAGGAGATGTCTGAGATGCACTCTGAGTACTCTGATTCCAGCTGTGGTAAGAAACTCTTCTAAATGGTTTCCTAAGAACCTGTTTGTGTCTTTGAAAACCAACCTAAAACCATTACTCCTTTGCCTCACAGAAAATGGAACCTACTTCTGTAATGAATGCGACTCCAAGTTTGCAGAGGAGGAAGCCTTGAAACGCCACACGCTTCAGGTCCACAGCGACAAGCCATACAAATGTGACCGTTGCCAAGCAGCATTCCGTTACAAGGGAAACCTTGCCAGTCATAAAACAGTTCACACCGGTAAAAATAAACAGCTGCTAATACAAATGTAATTTTGGCTTTGACGTTCGATCTTTTGCTTAACCTCCTTTTCATTTGCTCTGCAGGAGAGAAACCATATAGATGCAATATCTGCGGGGCTCAGTTCAACAGACCAGCAAACCTCAAAACCCACACACGGATTCACTCAGGAGAAAAGCCATACAAGTGTGAGACATGCGGCGCTAGATTTGTGCAGGTGAGTGCTTCGAGTTAGTCAATTGTAGAGACCGAGGAAAAAGAGATTGGGAAGAATAACATAACCTTTTTTTTGCACAGGTTGCTCACCTTCGGGCTCACGTTCTGATTCATACCGGAGAGAAGCCATATCCATGTGAGATCTGTGGCACTCGTTTCCGCCATTTGCAGACACTGAAAAGCCACCTGCGGATACACACAGGAGAAAAGCCCTATCATGTAAGAATACGTACAGCCATATCATTCATAATTAGATCTATAAAGTGCAAAAGCATTCATTCTCGTCCTAAATTCTGTTCTTGCATTTGTTTTTCAGTGTGAGAAATGCAACTTGCATTTTCGCCACAAGAGTCAGCTGCGGTTACACCTCCGACAGAAGCATGGTGCGATCACCAACACCAAAATCCAATATCGCATGTCCTCAACAGACCTACCGACTGACTTGACGAAGGCATGCTGAGCAGGCACTTTGGGGCAGACCTGACCATGGCATTATATGACCTGACTTGTACAATCATTCAAAATTTTAGTGCCACACTGTGTTAATCGGACAAGAAGAAAAAAAAAACTGGCATGAAATGCCAGTCTAAACGGGTTTCCTCTACATTTGAACATAGAACCACAATATGATCTCTTGTAGTCACTTTATTGTTTATATTTACATATGAATATATATTAATGTTGGGAGTGTTTTTACAATTTGAGTTATAAAAAGCTTTATTTTGTTGGAAGAAGGATGGAATGTAAAACATTTAAATCTGGTTTTTGAAAATACAGTATTTTCTAATGGAAAAAAAACATACTTTTCTGAAGGTATTGGGGATTTTGATCGAGGTTGGAATATTTTAAGTCAAACACATTTCTCGCAAAGCAAAGAATTGTGTGTCTATAGATTTTTATATATACATGTACAGGTTACACTATGTTGGAACAACCTCTGTCTTGTAAGAGGAACTCCTAACTGTGACTATAGCATTGAATATCTTACTTGGTTTTTGTCGTGTACTTTTGAGAATGATGGCTGCTCTCTCAAATGGAAAACATGCATGAGGTGGGTTGCCACTGATAAACCTTTATTATGTAGGAAACTGCATAAATATTGTGACAAAATGTAATTTACTTTGCATCAAGATTGCTCTCTGCTGGCAGAGCCGATCTGGAATTACATGGTAACATATGCATTCAAAAGTAATAATAATAAAAAAAAAAAAGTAAAAAAAAAAGGTACTGCTATGTTATGACCAAGGAGATATTTTGCTTCAGATGTATTTGTATAGAAATGTGACTTTTTTATTTCTTTTGGCAAGTGAAGGTTTACAGTTTTGTTGTTGTTCTAGAAGCTACAGTAAAAGGTTATACTATTGTCTTTATTTTCTTTTTGTCTGTGTATACACTGTGTACTCAAGGTGCCTTTCTCAATGGTGTCTGAATTTATTTTCATTCAGCCCAGCTCTACTAAGGTACAACTGAAGGGCAACATGTGTCCTTTTTTTTCCTTTTTGAGTGTGTAGACATGCGAGAATGTGTGACAGAAGGATGCTGTGACTGTGTGTGTGCATGTGTGCTTTATAAATGCTTTTCACACACTTTAAGAAAAAAAATGCAAATCATTGCGTGAGCTATACATCTTCAGGACTTGTTTTGGGATTGGGCTTTTTTAAATAAAGAAAAATGCATTAAGCTTATTGTAAAATATAGATGTATGAATGTAAAATAAAAGTATTGGATTTCTATGTCTAACACTTGTGTATCGCCTATTTATTTCATATTCAAGGCAACATGAAAGTGAAAGACAACGAAGACCTTTATCAGGGTACTTTAACACCAAGTTTCAAGTGCATTCACCATTCTCTTGACAATTTAATCATTAACATTTCCCTTTTTTCATATATTTTTAAAAGCTTAGCGTTACGGGAATGCTTGCATGCTACAACAAAGACCAAATTGTTAGAGAGTCGAGACAATAAGCAGAGAACCAAATCACCACAAGCTTAGGGTAGTGAAAAGCAACACTGGAAGCTCCACACCTCTGTAGTATCAATTCCTTTTACAGGACTAGAGTACTATGAACGAATGAACTAACCCCAATAGGAGTGAAACCCTACAAAACAGTTGGGCTACAGAGTTTGTTTTTCCACAGACATTTGCTTTAAGTTACACCAGTACTGATTCCCAGTCAACAAGTGACAAACAGCTCCATTTAAAACACCACAACCAGATTTACACCACCTCAACATGCTGATATAGATATATATATATCAACCAAAATGATTTTTGACTCCACAACTAATGCTCAGACCTATGTACACATCATAATACAGTACATACTGCATAGCATCATACAGACAGGAGATGTCATCATTTATATAGAAGCTTATTTAATAATCAGTTCAACACAAGATCATATAATGGAAGTCTGCAACAGTCATTATGAGAGATTGGGGAGAGGGATCAGAAAACTATCCATTACAAACCAAAGGTATTAGATCCTCTTGTGTTACTCTGGAACAGGTCTGAGCTTCTTTTGCTTCCTTCTTAAAAACCAATAAAACAAAAAAAGCAACAATATAGCCCAGAATGGGGAATTTCCATTGACTTCTGTAATTTGTATACTGAGTAAACACCTTTATACTTAACTAAACCTCTGTGGCCCCAAAATAATAGGTACACAAACACTTGTTTCATGAAGTAAGAACATCTAATAAACTACCAATGTTTTTTTATACCAGGTGAGGTTAATCATATTTACATAATCACCTAATCCAACTCAACCCCAAAACATAAATCTAGCGAGGTCCAGGTCACTAGTTACCGTTCAACAGTTTTCACTACATTTTTAAGGACATTGAATGTCCAGGACACTTTGGCCCTCACAAATAGTCAAGCCTTTACACACACAGTAAACTGAATTTTGTCAAACCGGATTTACAACAAGCGACAGAGGGATCTCTCACTAATAGAATTTTAAATAGCTTGGTTATTCTGGGTCTGCATTAATAAGCACACGAACAGAACACAAATATATTTACTTTATTATTAGCTAAAGTCATTTTTAAAAACTGAAGTTTCACCTGCAACTTTTATTCACAGGTGAATGCAAAACCATGCAGGCACTGATGCAGAGCTCACGCTGCTTCTTCTAGCTCAAAATCATGAACAAGAGTGTCATTGAGGTCATCAGGGCCAAGTATCCAGTGATTTTTCTTCTGAGTAGAAATCTAAAAACACAGATTCAAAAACGGTTCACTTACACACACAAAAAGAGTAACTTAAAGCCCTTTTCTTTCCAATCCTACCTTTTCTTCAAACAACTCTTGAAGCATAGAGTTTAGAGCAGAACCTTTACTACTGCGATCGTCCATCTAAATGACGAAAACATATAATGAAAAACTAAATTGGTCACTTGCATAATTGATGACTTCCTACGTCCTTCTCTCAACTTACTTTGCTATGGTGCCTCTCAGAGAAACACTCATCCATGTCGAAGCCCTCATTCGTGTAGTTCTCCTAAAAACACAGATGAACACCACTTGAACTTGTCTGGAATTCTCTCGATACGAAATCTATACAATTCCCAATTCATGGCTTGTGTGACCCATTGTGCTTGTCCGATGCCATGTAGTAGAAGTAGCAGTTGTAATAAATCTCTGCGATAAACACTATTCAGACACCTGAAATTGACCAATTTTTCGTCATAAAAATCAAATACTTATGTTTCACACTTAAAAGCCGTTTCAAAACGTAGGGCTATGTTGAGGAGGACATCATGGGAGCGTTTTGAATCAGGTGAGCTCGAGATTAATCGGAACGCGCTTATCATGATTAAAATACTTTCCAGATATCACACAAGGTATTGAAACAACCATAAACAATGTTATGGAAAGGATGAAAAACACACCTACCATTCTCATTAAACTCTGTATCTGAGTAATCTGAGAGTAACCCGCGAGCGTGTCAGCAAGGCCTAAAATGGAACATTAACTAACGGCTGGTGGTAATTTGTCTTGGTTCAACTTCACACGGTTAGCAAATTAACGTTAACAGATTTCAAGTTCATTGGTGAGCTAATTAACAAATCCTTCGGCACTCATGAAATGGAAGCTGCGATCACGTTTTTTCTTCCATGTTGTGACGTACATCTGAGTGAAAACCACTGTTAAAGTGAAAAACGGATACTTGGGCAAGGAAAAATGTTATGTCATCGATCGGGAACTTATCCTGGATAATTAATGCTAATGCTATATCGTGTGAGCGACAGATTGTTCGGCCCTCGAAATATATGAAATATCTCTTTCATCTTGTCTGGGAATGCACATATACTGTTTTGGAAGGATTTCTGTATCTTTGTGCGCACATTTTCATCACGGAGTTTTTCTTTGTTACAGGTTTTATTTGGTCAGCACAACTTTGATTAAGTTTTAATAATGTTTTCAATTCACATTAATTAGGCTGGCAGTTTTTGTTGTAGTATGAAAATTGGATTAAATAATTTATATTTCACTGGTGTCTAAACATTTGTACCACATTTGTACCACTGACCCAATTCTCAGCACTGACATTTCTGGAGCTGCTCTAGTCTAAATATGTGCTGTGCTATTCAATGAAATATAAAATATGATAGAGCAATAGAATGTACAGTAACAAAAGCTCATACAATGCATTATGCAAATAATTGAAAGAAATATATATTTGATGAACAAATTAAGCCAACTAATATGATTATTACTAATACATTTAAAAATTATAAATGCAGTGAAAATTCAGGGATCGGATACATTATCGGTATCTCGTTCTGTAAAAAGTGGTATCGGTCCATCCCCAATTCAAAATATTGTGATTTTTTTTGTGTTGTTGTTGAAAAAATACAATTGTTTCACGCTAAATCAACGTTGCAGCCCGTCTGAGATATAGAGCTATATCTCATGGCTATGAGCATGATATTAAGAATATGATAAGTATATAATACAACTTTCATTCTTCAGGTCAATCATATATATCAATGGGGGGAAAAATCAGTTTCAATATCCTTTCAATGGTTAAGGCGATTTCCCATTCCTGCCAGTGCTGGTCAATGGATTCACCTCTCTGAATTGAAACATCAATAAGTAAAATTAATAATCAAGATATTGTTTGATAAGTGCCGATTGAAGTCCTTGAAATCCAAAAAAGTAGTGCTTGAAAAGTCCTTGAAAGTCCTGGAATTTCATTTGACAGAGTCTGTACAAACCCTGGCAACAGTTTGCCAATGGCTGAACTAAAAAGAAACAATAAACAAGCTTTTTCATCAAAAAGGAGGCGATGAAAGGAAATACTTTATTACTGTATCAGTAGGCCTGAAAAACAAAGAATTTAGATGCAGTACAGAACCTTCTTAAGATTCATTAAAAAGCACACAACCACTAACTGAAAAAAATGTCACACACTCTCAACAATGGGCCTCATGACAAGAGAGGTAAAAAGGAAAATTACAACAGCAAAAAAAAAAAACTTTACATAAAGTTCCAGGTAAAAAAAGAAAAAGATATTTAACCTACAAAACTCCACAGATGACGCGTGTGAACAGTCCAACAAAACAACCTTTTCTCAAATGCAAACGCATTATTGTTTCTGTTGCATAGCTTCTTTGCGTGCAGCATCCTGTAGTAGCTGTGTGTCCACTTCATCCGCAGGAAGCTGTACATACCGCACCACCGATCCACGGATAAAGCAGTTCTTCACCGACAACTAAAACAATACAAAATATTAGAGTCATTTCTATAGATGTAGTTCTTCTGAAAGTGTTCATCAGTTGAGCACCTGCTCAAGCTCAATATTACATTTCATTCTTGACAGACTAAAGTGCCTGAGGTTCCAGGCACAGAACAGATTTATGCCATATAATTACTTCTCTTTTCAATCTATTGACTTATTATGTGGTTTAAATATTGTGCACACCCACACAATACTTCTTAATCTTTAACAAACAACACACTTGACAAGTTCTCACCATGTGCGGATATTTCTCTGGATCAGTGACACTGATATCTGTCAGTTTGATGTTCAAATACTGTGAAGGGAGAACAAGTTTAATTTTAAAATTCACACAATATTTGCTTGGATTTCAACAAAGCAGGGTTTGCTGCCATACCTGATCAACTGAGTGTAATGTTCCACATATGCTGCAAAGTTGAAAATCAGAATGTAATAAGTTTCTACACACATTACACTGTGCACATATTATATTTTTTCAAAGTATGACACGCATAAAACAGAAAGAGCTTACCTCAAGTCATTCTTGAGCTCCACCACAACATCTTTGCCGACCAAGGACTTGAAAAACGAGTAGAAGAGCTGAGGAATTAAATGTTTGAATGTTAACGTTACATTCATATTATGTTCTCACACGAAGAACAAGAATTGATTAAACGATATTAAAATGTGATTAAACCTGTGAAATATACTGTCAGACAATGAGAGATTTGCAAACACTATCAAATTGTCACTATCACATTATCAAATTGCAAACACTGAAAGCAAATTACACTAGCTCTAAATTATCGAACACTATTCGACCACATAAAATACAAAGACATACATTAATGTAAAAATATCAAAAATAGTTGCTTTTAATAGGGATTTAATTAAAATAATAATAATTTTCTTGAGACTGGACAGGTTTATTGGGCTATTCGGAGAGCTAACTTAGCCGTTAGCAGACTGCGGTGATTATTAATTCCTCGCCAACGGGGGGTGAACAGTAAACAATAAAAACATGTTACATATTGCAAAAGGATTCATTTGGTCTATGTACAATTTATATACGTTTTAAAGGTAATAAACACATGTTATTGCTAAATAACAACACTTACCATTTTCACGCGGTTTTGTGCTTCTGGTCACTTACGTCATCAATAAGCTGCCGGTTTCTTTTCTCTTCGTGCTTCTATTGGCTAGACGAATTCAGACGTAATGGTCCCATTGGTGGAGAGATTTTGCGTCTTCAGTACACATCTCGGCAAATCCCTCACAAACACTGATTAATAAATTGTCTAATCATGGAAGAATCTTATAGATGCTTGTTATTTTTAAATAAAATTATTTTATACAAATATTAATGAATGCCAGAAGATCAACTTTTACTTTACCCACACGGCTTGCTAACAACATCCTATGGCCCCTCCTTTAATAAGATAATCTCTTGTAATTCCCCTCTATCACCAGCAGATGGAGGCACAGACTATAGAACTTATGTCATGTTCCCATTCTCTTCTATATTGAACCAAAGAGTCAATATACGTTCTTTGATTGAACTGTCCCTTTATCAAACTAGGGTAAGCACTACACTTATGATATATGAACTCTGCAATGCCATATAGCCTACTCTAAAACAAGTTACACTGCTCGGTGTGAGGACCATCATCTTGTAAACTATTGTAAATACTAAGAAAACAGAAGAAATCATTCTTGATCCAGGACATCTGGGAGATCATTCTCCAATCTCCATTACTGGTCCACAACATTTGTATTACCCAGGTTTATTCTTACAAATACTACGGTGTCTGATCTGATGCAACAACAGCGACTTTACCTTTTGCGAAGACTCAGGGTGTTTGGGGTTGGACAGAGGGTAATGATGCTATTTTTTCATTCTGTGATAGAGCGTGTATTACGTTACGGAATTGTAGCCTGATTTGGTAACATATCAGTGAAGTTAAAATCACAAATAAATAGACTGGTTCATACAGCAATGAAAGTGATAGGGGTGTAAGGGAGCATCCCTCCCTCCAAATTCTTTTTGAGAAGACCAAACAGGCTAGGAAAATTATAGCAGACCCCTCCCATTTCCTGCATTCAGAGTACGAGCTGCTCCCATCAGGTAGACGCTATAGGGTTCCAATTAAAAACAGGAAAAGATGTCTGAATAAGTATAACAATTATTTTATCCCTTTATCACTGAATCTTCTAAACTCAGGATATAAGGTGGGTGTGGGTGTGAAATGAGGGGCTGTGTTGTAGGTGCTGAATGCACTCATGTCTGTACTTGTTCTGTGTTTGTTAATGTACTATAACTGTATGTATTTTTATGTGTCAGCCTGTATGTCCAAGACTTGAATCTTGGCTTCCTTGGTGGCCTAAATATTAAAACTCAGTCATTATAAAGTGCGTTTCCAGACCAAAAAAAAAGAAAAAAAAAGCCAATAACTGTACAATACTTGGTTTTATTAGAAGATTACAACTTTTAACTTTCTCCTTTTAATAAAATATTTTAAGCAATATGAAATGTTGAAACACAGGTTGATGGAAAGATTGCTCTATTTATTACTATATGCAGTAACATTCAAACTGTTGAAACATTCATAATCATTTTAAAATCAATATCCAAGTTCCTTTTATTGTTTATGCACTTATTAATTTGAGTACACAGAGATTAAGAAGCCTATGGCTTTTGTCCAGTACAGAGTCTCAAGTATGAGATATGAAGATCACACCAGCGCTGAAAAAGGTATCTTGCCATGGCATACCAATAGAAAATCATTTTAAAGGCCGTCCCATCTTCAGAGGTTGCGACGACTCATTGTGCACTGAGGAAAGATGTTGCAAATGAAAATTAATGAAATAAATGTTGACTAATTAAATATATATTACAATTACATAAACCATAAATAAATTCTTTGTAGTATCAAATATCTAATTCTAAAGTTTTTATTAGTTACACTACCAGCCAAAAGTTTAAAATAATTTTCTTTGTTTTTTTAAATAAATCTCTACTAAAGCTGGATATATTTGATCAAAAATACAGAAAAACAGTAATATTAATATTATTACACAAAAATATTATTAATATTATTAAACAAAAATAGTAAGCAGCACAACTGTTTTCAACATTGATAATAAGAAGAAATGTTTTCCTGAGCATCAAATCAACATATTAGAATGATTTCTGAAGGATCGTGTGACACTGAAGACTGGAGTAATGTAATGATGCTGAAAATTCTGCATTTAGCAAAATTCAGCTGTGATTTCCATCACAGGAATAAATTACATTTTAAGATATACTCAAATATTTCATAATATTACCGCTTGTACCATGGGCATCGCTAGACCCCTTTTACTGTGGCACAAGCCCATACCTCTGTGCCACTGTATAAAATATTACTGATAAATTCTTATGTCTCATCATTGTCAAAATCATTTTCTCTGAGAATATTTCAGCAATCATGTGGTGTGATTTCTATCAGCGGTTTAGAGTTAGAACTAACAATGTCAGATTTGCGAATGAATCTAATCGGATTCTATCGCTTGTCAACGACAGTAATTGCGTGTCAACAACACTATACTTTAGGTAAAGATAATTCACATCCATTTATATCAAAAACAGTATTTAAAAAAAAAAAATCAAAATATAGACACACTTCTTTTTTTTTTTTGATAGTGTCACGTGCCCCAGTACTAATGAAAGGCTAGAAACGCCTCTGGTTTGTCCTGTATTTTTGATCAAATAAATGCACCTTTGGTAGGCATATAAGACAGTTCTTTCAAAAAACATTATAAATACTGTGTTATCATGATTATTTTTTAGCCTAATGGCTTGAGTTTGATCCCATTATAATCGCTGGAGGTGTCTACATGCACTCCTTGAAATACGCATGAAGGATGAGATAGAGAGCCCTGATCTACAGTCTTCCGCAAGGAAGGAATGTGGAGCATATAGTTATCATACCATCTTTGGGTTGGCCTGGTCTGGTTTGTGGTCGTATCTTGGATGGGAGCTCTGAGCTGTCTCTGTAGTCTCTAGGCTTTGGTTGAAGCTCTTGTGGCTGACCAGAGCGAGACTTCACAGGAACCGGAGGTCTGTTGGGCCCAGTCATGCCCCCTTCAGAGCGAGAAGGCACCACAGGCTTCTTGGTGATGATCTGGGATTGTAGTCCGCTGCTCATGGTGTTTGTGGCTGAGGATGAGGGAGGTTTGGTTTCTGAACAGGTGAAGGAGCGATAGCGGGGGGTCGGAACAGGGGCCTGGCGGTCAGCGTCAAGGTCTGTTTTGGGGAAGGAGAAGTGAGGATCTGGAGGAGACAGATGGTCTTTCCCCCCTCGTGATCCACTCATTGAGCCATAAAGGGGATTGTCAAACATCTCTGGAGGTTTCCCATCCTCAGACCTGTAGCCAAAAACAAATATTAGCAGATTAATCTGGAATCACTTTAAGAGATGCAACTCTCAGGTTTGCATGTAACAAGAAGTGTTCATTTGTACACCGTTTTTTGTTTTGGCAATCAAAAATTATATTTTAAATAACAAAATTCTGAACAAAAAAATTGTATAAACATTCATTTAAATGTAACAAAAATATTAGGAACGCACCATAATAAAACCATAAGTTGATAGTTTTTTATTATGGCTGACAGCCAATAATTGGCAGATGTTCAAATTCTACGCAAAAACCTAAAAAATCATTGTTTAAATGCTAAAAGTGAATTTAGGCATCACAACATACCATAATATACAATATGAAAAATGGATTAATTCTGAGATTATATTTAACCGTGTTTTTAAACTAATAGTTATTAACTTTGAGTGTTACATGACAGCAAAAATGGTCTAAATGTAAAGAAGGGGAAATGATCATGCACAATAAGTATCCATCAGCGACTGATATTGATCAATTAAAAACTCGAATTTGTCAGATAACCTTTGACTAAACCAAAGACTTTTGTCCGATGACATGATGGATGTATTGATGAGATAAAGGAGATAAAAATGTGAGGTCACACTTTAATTTAGGGTCCAATTCTCAATATTAACTATGAACTACAACTTTTGCCTCAATAAACTCCTAATTACACCTTATTAATAGTTATTAAGTTTAGGTTTTAAGTTTGGGTTGAATTAAGGGATGTAGAATGAGAGCATTAATATATGCTTGCTAATATGCAACTAGTTAATCGTGAGAATTGGACCCTGAAATAAAATGTTACCTAATGTCAAAATATACTTACACAGGGTTTGATGTCTTTGCAGTTGGGCTGGATGTAGCATGGTCATAACTAGACTTTTTTGGGGAGAGATTGCCATGCGTCATGTCCTTTGATGAATGTCCAGAGGATGGCCCTGTTCTAGGGGTCATAATGTTGCTGGCGCCCCTGTCTGCCTGGTTATTGCTCTTGTAGCCTACACCCATATAACTGGGGTTACTTATATCAGAGGCGAGGACTGAAGAAGACCTGTCAAAGAATGTCAAAGATATATAATTGTACAAACATAAACAAATCTCATTTTTGTAAAGAATTGTGAATAAGAAAATATAACGTCATTTTGAAAAAGTAATTTAATAATAACATAACATTTTGGATATAAGAATCTGCTAAATAAATACATGTAAATAGCAAAGAGGGAAAATGCGAATATTTTACATTTTGGTACTATCTCCTGATTTCCCTTTACCAGCTCCTGGGTCATCTCCGACTTTAATGAAATCTGGAATAAAGAAAAATAATCTTAAGGAAACGAACATAGCCTCGTTACTCAGGACTGGTTGTGTCAGGCATTGCTGTACAGAAACACATTGTGCACTCACCATACAGCTTCTCTGCCTGTTTTCCTTCAGATTTGGGGAGTTGAACGCCACCTGTTAGATGGCCTGTGTGCTCACCATGATGGGTGAGTTTGATAGAGAACTCAGTGTAAGAGCTTTCAGCAGAACGCAGAGCAACACAGCCCTCACCTACAGACAGAGCACAGCGTTATTGTGTTTGAATGCATGTGACTATTCCGATACTAATCAGAATATGGTCTTAATCTGATTATGAAAGCATATTCCAGTTTTTAGAAATCCAATTGCCATATGCCATCATGTTATCATGTTCATCAGAATTTCGAGTCACGTAAACACCTTAATTCGGAATATTCGCCATGACTGAACTATCTTTTTACCATACAACATTTATTCGGTTTAAAATTTG